TAGAACAACACTAGCATCTAATTTAAATCTAAAAGTAGATGTACAAAAACAAAGGGAAGGAAGGAGAATGATGTGTCTTTTAGGATAAAACTGGTCAAAATCAGTGAAGGCCAGCTTGGAGAACGATTTAAGTATTAAAAGCTACTACAGGTCAATCAGATGATAAAATTTACCAGGAACTATGTACATGTCTATTTTCATTACCAAATATAAGCAATTTACAGCAAATAAAGTACTAGGGGGAAAAAAAAAAAAAAAGAAAACCAAACTGCTTACAGATCAGTACCTTCAATTTTAATAGTTTATAAATGTTATTAGTGATAGAGGTAAGATAAACTCTTATTACAATCGATGGAATTTTTTATTGTCTGGCTGGTTTTTACATGTATTTCGCAAATGGGAAAAAAGAAAATCTGAAAGGCCATAGCGTACGAGAAGCTAAAGAAAATGATTTCATCTTTGGTGTTAAGAATTCACTCTTGGACACTCCTACCAGATGCTCTCCCATTTTCAAATTCCATGGGTTTTTTACGCTTTGGAACATCCCCGTTTCCTGTGCAGTTTCCCATTTTGAGGCAGATACTCACATGAGGGGCACAGCTGGCCAAGTTCAGGGAAGGTGGCATGACAGCAGAGTGCAGGTGGGAAAGAGGCACTACGTGCCGCAGCTTGCCTGAAGCAGAAGCTGGCGAGTAGCCTGGGCCCTGCAGCTCCTGCGAAAAAGCATTAGCCGAGCAGAATAAGCAGGTATAGCTAAGCAGAATAAACAGGTATAGACAGCATGCCCTCTGTAACAGGACATGTCTTTTAGTCAAATTTTTTATAATACGCAGCACTCAATTCTCAAAACACTTCTTAGTATTTATTAGGTGTGCTCAGACATAACCCTTTTAGTGACTGAACTGGGTGCAAGAGTGGCAGTTACATTTATTTTCAGAATTTTAACATATGCTCTGGAACCATTCAAGTGGAGGACATCTCAGGGCCACCACAAAATTAAACTGTCCCACAGTTCTCGTACCTTTTCTTCCCCACTTGGGTGAGTATTTCTTTCGTTGGAATATGAGATTCCCCACCTTTGCCATTGTACATATGAAGTACTTTTTGTATCGCTTATGTAGATTTGTATTCTGAATATAACATTTCATTTCTCACTCAAAACTAGCAACTGGGGTGGGACGCTAAAATTAACGCTAATTCCTTATGATAAAACTCCTGTTCCAAGTGTACCAATCATTTATAGCAGTAGTTTCATTGCAGCCTTAATCATCTGTGGTTATAAATAAGGCAAAGGTAAGTAATATTCTCTATTAAACTCATTAGTAAAGATAGAGATTGGACTAAATCTATTGGGCAATAAAAATTCTAGGCTCTATAACAGAGATACTGGCTTTACATTACTGCATGATTTTCCCTATACCCTATCTTTCACTAATGCGATATAGCTCGACAGATGTCAATTACATCTCTTCCTTTTTCTGTCCCAGATGCCTCATGACCGTATTTCCTTCGCCTTGGCTAACACCTCTCCTTGCTTCTTAAAAAAGATTTTTTTTTTTTTTGTCCTGCCTAACTAATTAGCATAATCATATTAAACTCAGAGCCCTCGTTTCCAGTCTAGACGTGGCTTTAAGGTTGCTGGTTTTATTTCAGACCTGAAGAAGGATGTGGGTGCCCAAAAGCTTGTTAGTGCTTTCTATCTCTAACAGTTACACTAGTAAAAGGTATCCCTACAGACCTTGTCTCTCTAATTCATTTTTCATAATCATGCCATGAACGTTTCTAGCTTTTATTTGCCTAGGGCCGCCAGAAAATGCTTAAGTGTCACTGAAACCAAAGCTTAGCAGATGAAGCATATGGTCCAATATTCCTGTAGCCGTTTAATTTTTTTGTTGCCCTTATTGTAAATAGCACTTCAAAGTAACTGAAATTATGGACGTGACTTGTGCAGCAATGAGGTATTCCACGTAAAAAAGGGTTTCAGAACACAGACTTTTTAGAATATTCGCAATAAATAGGGTTAAACCTAAAGTTAGGACACAAAGTAAACGCACCTAACTTCATACCCATGCTTCTCAGTAACGTACTTACTTTTACATCTAAAGTACGCTGCAGTCTGAAGCGCATAGCTTCTTGTTCCTGACACTGGATTATGCACTGACATTCTGCAAATTGCATGGATGCCTGTAAGAGAGGAGAGAAGCATAAATTAATTTTGCTAACTTTCTGTGGATTACACTCTTTCGTGTTTTCTTTCCGATAAAGAAACAACAAGGTACACATACAGGTGCTGCATTTATCTACTGCTATCAGTATAAAAATACTGCAAGATGACCAGGTGCCCTTCTTGATAGGCTTACAAAAGCAACTGACTGGTTATATGATCCTAGTAGCCATAATATGCACACCGTAATATCACAGAAGGGAGCTAACCCTGTCAGGGACAGTCCTAGACCTACTAAACACCTCTGGGATTAGAAAATTCAACTGTGCTAATGAGGCAAAACTATACTGAAGGTTTTAAAATGGATGGCTGATAACTTTGTAGATCTATCTTTGTGAAGTTGTTACATACTCTTTCTCCTTTAAAAAGTTTACTCTGAAAAGGTGTGAGAAGGTGTAATAATGTAGCTAGTTTTCACTGAGTACTTATCAGGATGGCAAGAAGAGAGGAAGGTCTAAGCCAAAGCACATAAAAAAGAGAGAGAGATCTTTATGAACCAGACTGCTTTTATCACTCTGCTGGAGTTCACTCTTCGGTTTTAAAGTAAAACCTGGGTCTCTTTCTGTGCTTCTTTATGACTGCCAGTGAGGCACAGGCAGGCTCCCTGAGGCACTGTGGATGTACGGTTACAAGCAGCAGCTTTTTGAACATTTAACTCCGAATCATTAATGATGAACAAAATGGCCAATTACACTTTATGATGATTATACAACGGAAGCTCTGCAATGGTATGTACTAGCATCCCGTGAGACACAGTACAACCTTTACTAGTTTCTAAGAATTGTTATTTAGTGTACCATACGTGCTAGTTTTCAGCGAGCACCTGCCTCCACTGTGTCTCAGCTTCTCTGTCAGTTGGCTAGTACTGTGCACAATGATATACATTACAAAGGAAGTTAAGTTTCCAGCATCAAGCATTTAAAGTAAGAAATGCCACACTTGGGAGGAGGTATCACAATTACTTTTATTTTATTATTTTTTTAAAGTAATAAAGCAATTTGAGAACGACATCTTACGTGGAAATTTACATCCTGAAAAGCTAGAATTCTGACAAGCTGAAAAGGACTCTTCCTTCTGGAGGAGCAGCAGCTTACCTGTAGGGCACCTGGGATTTATGTGCTAGTCAGACCAAAATGTAGAACCTAGCCTTAACCATCAGGTATGTCAGCAACAGAAACCTCAACTAAAACAGGCAAATGAAACAACATGATATTCTTAAAAATTTCCCTCATGCTGAAGGACCCACAGCTGGCTAACTAAGGTCCCAGAAAAGGCTCAGCATGGACAAGTGTGTTGAGTCAGTGCGTGCCCACACTCGGTTCCAGTGGAGCCCCTGTTATATTGTATAATGGTGTCTCTCGCCAGGCATAGGAGCTATGCCAACAGCCAGTGGAAAGTCTGGAAGGTCAATCTACTGCCTGGAAGGTCAATCTGCTTTAAATTCCCTGCAGTTTGTATTTCCCTGAGCTAGTAAGGAATAAATCAAGAATTCTCTTAATGAAAATAGAAGCCTTTTAGCATTAAAAAAACCAGAAGACAGTCTTAACTATAGACATCTCTTTGGGTAAGTATCTTACAGTACATATGAACAGGACATACTAATACAACCTAGGTAAGAGGTCAGACATTTTCTCTTCCCAAGTGACTGTAAAGGAAAGCACCCAGAAGTCTCACTGAACTGAAAGCTACCTAAAACTACCTTATCAAGGGCTGCCTCCATCTTAGGTATTTTTTCTTTCAGACGTTTGTCTTGTGATCTCAGGATCTCCAGTTCCCCAGCAATCTTGGTATTTTCTGCTGTAATATAGCTCAATTCTTGACTTAGTTTACAATTTTCTTCTCTGAGGTAATGCTTCTCCTGAATTTAAGGTAAGGACAACAAAATAGGAGTCAAAAATTTGTTAACTACCTACATTATACATACTTATTTTCTGCAATTTTTTTCTCTTTGAAAGTTCTGAATTAACCCTTTCAGCAGCTATTACATCTTGCAGAAAGATGAGGTTTTTCAACAACAAGATAGGTCTTATAAAGAAAAGTGCAATTGGACTGGTCCTGATGAAGTAACATCTCGGATTTTAGATCCATTTTGAAACCGGAATTTTAAGCTTCAGGATCCACAGGATCCAAAGGCAGTAAAGAAGGAGGACATGTTATAGTGAACAGATATAAAAGATCATTCAGCAAAGTCCAGCTATTGGTAACCGAACGATTTCTTTGTCACAGAAAATGCTAGAAAGACCTCAATAAGCAAGACAGACCGTGACATACTGGACAGACGGTTTACAACTACAACTGCAAAGAACCGCCTCAGAAATCAAAGAGGGGCAAGCACTGTGGGCCAAATTCAGAAGGATACAGAATGATTACTTGTCATTTTTAAAAAGAACTGATCTGCAGGAGCTTGATTCTCCTTGAAACTAGTACTCTTCTTTCACAGAGAACAAATATAAATTAAAACCTGTGTCTGTGCATAAGGCTAATGTATGTGGTGGAGATATTCCCTGATATACGCTAGCAAGAGAACAGGGAAGGTTCCCATTACATCAAGTTAAATTCTCTTTGGTCCTTCCTGGGCCAATTGTGCTTTTGGCCATGCATTTCTCCAAAGAAAGATTTATCCAGATACAGTTAAACACTTTTACACGGAGCTCTTGTGACCTTAGCTGCATTTGTCATTGCCTCTTCCAAGAATTTAATCTTGCTCTGTAATGCATCTATCTGTCCTCTCTTGGCTGTGATCTGCTTCTGCATTCCCATTGCAACTTTCATAGCTGTAAAAGACAAGGTTTATTCTCAATGAACAACATTGATTATGCATTCTGAGTTCTGACAAAAGACTCTGGAGCTGTTATCAGCAATATGTTAGAGTAAGTAAGTTGAACCAGGATCCTAGTCACTTATGTGTGCAAACCACCCATTATAATCAGCTGGAGTTTTGTCCAAGGTAGTGACACCAGACCCATCACACACACAAGACAAGAAGACAGCATTCCCTGGAAAGCTGCTTAAAGATCACTTGAGAAAACCCAACTCATGGTTTAAGTTTTACAGTATGTAGTAAATGGTAAAATAAAAATGTGTTGTCATCTGCTATATTGTTTATTTATTTCACAAAATATCTGGAATATTATTACATCATCTATTGAGGGATCAATACTTAGAAAAATCCTCTTGTTAAAAAGACAAACATGTGTGATCTTTGGGAAGTTCAATCCATAATTACCATGGCCATCAGATCCCTCCATAGTCTTCAAAGCAGTCCTGGTCCGTTCCAGTTCAGCTTGGGCAGATTTCAACTGCATTTTCAGTCTGTTTGCACTATTTTCCATCTCCTTGATCTTATCCTGATAATCCTTCTTCAAATCTTCAAATCCCTCTGGTGAGAGTAAGTAAAGATTGAAATTATAGTGACAAAATTTATCATTCTTCTAGACTAAGATTACTGATCTGTCGCCTACTCTTTTTAAAGCAGTATTAGATATGCAGATAGCTAAGACATAAAGCAAGTAACATCTACTGCTAACAAATGCACAACTAGTAGTTCATTGTCCTACATCTCAGCAAAAGCTGCTGTTTCACCAGAAACAAATGTGTTCTTTGGTTGCTCACCAAAGCAACAGTTCAAGAAAGTGATCTAAATGCGCATTTCTGAGCTCCTGCTGCTAAAAACAACTGCGTATCGTAAAAGTTAAGGGTATTAGTGAGACAGTATTTTGCCCCGGTCATTCTTCTCTCCAGCCACGCTTATAATCAGACTTATGTCTGAACTGATCTAATTTGTCAAGCAGTCCCCCGCAACTCCGCTTCTCAGCCCTGTTTCTTATATCTCTCCAACTCCTCTTATGTCACCCATACCACTACAAGCCAGCCAGCTGCGTGCTCAGATTCCATCAACAGCTTGGCCCTCATTCCTCTGTGATCATCCACTTCGATAAGCCTTTCTTATACCTCATTCACCCCGATAGTACTGTACAAACCTACGGCAGACTTTCCACGTAAAATCACATTATCTGTTTAATTCTTACAAAACTTAATGAATTTAGAAGTACAGCTGAGTTGTGAAGAAATAAATGTTACCAGTGGGTATTTTATGAGAGTACAGGGGTGTGTAGAGAGCAAAGCATGTGAACAGTATCACATGTCTGGCTGCAGTGCAGATTTAATAGAGGATCTCTCTGAATTTTGGTGGTTGCCTTGGGTTCAGCCCCTCCACGTAAAATCACATTATCTGTTTAATTCTTACAAAACTTAATGAATTTAGAAGTACAGCTGAGTTGTGAAGAAATAAATGTTACCAGTGGGTATTTTATGAGAGTACAGGGGTGTGTAGAGAGCAAAGCATGTGAACAGTATCACATGTCTGGCTGCAGTGCAGATTTAATAGAGGATCTCTCTGAATTTTGGTGGTTGCCTTGGGTCCAGCCCCTAATTTTATTTTATTTTATTTTATTTTATTTTTAATATTCTCTTGATCAGCTTCCCCACACATTAGTTGTGAAAACAGTGCTTGGAGTTAGAACAGAAACTTTTAAATAACATTGTATCAAAACTACAACAAAACAGAAACAAAGCTCCACTGCAATTGACCATAGATGGTTAATGGGCTCCACTAGTGCTGTTACATAACACTCGGGAAAAAGCGGTCAAGTTTCTATTCTGTGATGTACTAGATCTGCTTCTTTGGTCTCCAGAGTCAGACAGTTTAAGTATTTTTGCTCAGAGTAGTGAGAGACTGTCAAAGATTGTATTCCCATCATTCTGTGTGAGAATCCCAAACCATGACTTAGCTCTCTGAAGCAATTTGACCATCCTGTGCCGGCAGGGAACCTTCTGCTGCACCAGCAGCCATATTTGGATTCAGCAAGCAAGCTGCTCTTCTATTTTTAACATCTGCCCAATTTAGCAGCTATCGGAGCTGAGCTAAGTCAAGGTTCCCTACCTTCAAGGCCAGCTAGCTCACTCCGACTGGCTTGGAGTTCATTCATTAGCTGGTCTTTTTCCAGTTTCATATCATTAAGTGCATGGAGCCTCTCACTGCATGTGTTTACCAGTTTAACCTTTTCCAGTTCCAGTTCACTCAGTCTGGCCTCCATTTCATGTATTCTGGCTTCCTTCTCATCCTTTGCAATCTACTTACATAAAAACCAATAGTAATTATGTGTAATATACATAATTATATAAAATAACCACAAAGATGTGCAGACATCATCATTACTTATACCACAGTTGTCCGAGAACAGTTTGGGGCAAGAAAGAAAAACAGAGTAAAATAGACAAATTAGTGAAAATTGCTAATCCAGGCAAAAAGGGTACAACAGAATCTGATGCGATGGCTTCACAGCATGTTTAACCTTACCAGCTGTATATGAAAATTATTTCCATCCTCTTGTAGCACCACCTCCATATTCACTCCTCACGCTCAACTGTCTTCCCACAGAAGAGGACGAAATTCCCTATCTGGAGTGAATTTTTTCTGAAGATGCTGACCTGCATAAGACCACCATATCCTGTAATTCTTGTCTGAGAAATAACCGGTTATAAACAATGTCCTCAGTTTGGAATTCTGAGTGCTCGCTGTCTGTTATTTCTCAGTAACACTTTGTAATTCTGTTGCTGTTACTGGTGTGGGTAATTGTATCACTGAGGACAGCATGTTATATTCCAGCCTTCACAAACCTTTTGGCAACTGCTTTGCAGCAGTGAATTATTCATTTTTGGTGGTAATACGATAATATTATTCTTCTCTGCCCACTAACTCTTCTAGTGCTGTTAGGATTCAAGGTGCATTGTCTGACCTGCTTTAAAACCACAGTATTAGCACATTAAGGTACAGATTTAAAAAACAGAAAACATTTACTGTCTGACAGAGACATAAATACAGCATTATTTGCACACCTTAAGTTCTTCTACTTTAAGTTTCCAGTCATTTATTTCTTTTATAAGCTGAGATTTCTCAACTTCCATTGCTCCAGCAGTTCGACTGTGCTGGCTCACAATCTGGGTCATGTTATCAATTTGCTTTTGGAAGATCTCAATAATCCTTTCCTTCTCCAACAGCTGCAGTTTCAGCGTTTCACACTCTGACTGCGCATTGTGTGAACAGTCCTCTTCATTCTTTAATTGCTGGAGCTCCTGCATCCTACTGCCAAGTTGCGAACATAGCTTCTTGATTTCCTTATTGGTAACCTCAAGGGCGCTCTCCTTCTCTTGCAGACGGGCTGTCAGTTTTGACACTGTTTTCTCAGCAGTCTCCAAATCGATCTGTTTGGCTGTGAGATCTTCCTTAACTTTACGGAGTGTTTCCTTGGTTGACTCCAGTCGGACAGTCAAAGAAGAGATTCTTCCAATGCTTTCATTTTTTTCCTTAATTGCGGCCATCTGAATAATAGCAATATAAGGATCGACCAAGAGAAATGTTTATTTCTATCTTCAGAATTTCCTGTCACATTTCTGGTTTTCTACAGTTCATCCTAAATATCTTAGTTTTACAGGAAAATTAGGTCAGCATGGTCTGGTCTACAATGACTATGTGATTCTTCTAGTTTTCTTTCCTCTTTCTCCTTTTTAATAAATTAAGTACTGCTTAGAATACTGTTTTTTTAAAATCATAGAAAATGAAAAATGTTAAACTGATGTAAAAAAAAAAAAGAATAAACCGGCAATGTTAGTATAAAATTTGGAGTAGTCGGGTCTAAAGAACTTTTAAGTGTTAAAATTCAACTGACTGCACTGCAAGTTGGAAAAAAAAAAGTATGTACATGAACAATTTATTACTGATTTTATTCCTGCAGGCAGCAATGTGCACCACTTAAAGCACAAAGTACTGTGACTCAGGAACTGCTAATAGTACAAAATAGAAACAGAAGAAAAGAATTAACTTCCTGGTGGGAGGATTTTAAAGGAAAAATAATGGATTGAGAAAACGTAGAACGATGTGTGAAGTAGCACAAGGCTGTGGCTGGTAGAAAATAAAGGAATTAAGTTGATCTTTACTCACAGTGCAAAGTGGGTTACCTAATTACAGCTCACTTTTGAGGGGCTGAAGTCTTGAAGAGAGGGGAATGTACAAGTCAGTGTCTAGGAATCTACTTTGCCAGAAGTAATTCTTCTGACATAGCACTGCATTCTGCTTAGGGTTATAAACACAAACTTCATATAAGGAAGAAGTTCTTTATGCTGAGGATGGTGAAGCACTGGCACGGGTTGCCCAGAGAGGTGGTGGATGCCCCATCCCTGGAAACATTCAAGGTCAGGTCGGACGGGGCTCTGAGCAACCTGATCTAGTTGAAGATGTCCCTGCCCATTGCAGGGAGGTTGGACTGGTTGACCTTTAGAGGTTCCTTCCAACCCAAACTACTCTATGATGTTTTCATTAAGCACTACGTGAAGTAAGGCATTGTGAAGGCCTTTAATCTACTAATTACTCCTGCGGAAGTGCTCACTACCAAAAATACTACCTTCAATAGTTCGTTTGTTATGTCTGGCAGCATCAAACTTTCTGGAAATTTACGAAATGTTGTTCTGGAGGTTTACAGTGAAAAATCAACCACACTATCAGCAGAACATTCATTTTCTTGTAAGGCTTGTACATAAAAAATCAAAATTAAAAATAATGCTTCTGCTTCCTCATCAGTAAAGAGAAATGAAGCCTGGACAGGTCACATTAATAGAAAAAAAAAAAATGCAAATTCTGACTGTCATATATCTGCATCTTTGGAAGGAAAATTTTGGCACATGAGCTCCAGAGGACTCCCAACCATAGTAACCAGAGTTACCCTATTTCCATCTGAAGTACAGTCCCCAGCCGGTGCACTTTCTATCCGAACACTATCACCCTGCAGTTGCTCACCAACCTGGCGCTCCATTTGCCTGTGACATTCAGTCTTCATTTCCTTCACTGTGTTTTCCATGCGCTGCAATTGCATGTTTTTGTTGTCTAGTTCTCTCCTTAGATGGTCAATGGTGATGCTGCTGTCTGTGTTCTGATCCCAAAATCGCTTGTTCTGCTCTTTTTCTAGATTTAGTTCTATCTCTTTTTTATGAAGTTCAGTCTACAAAAAATTAAAGTCATCTCCCTCCTTGAATCACGTTTAGGATTTTTTTGTTCTTTCTCTTAACGTTAGCAACATTCAATTAACCGGTTACATATCTGAATAGGGACTACTGCATGGATTTACACTTAGCAGAAGACAGGAATATTGGCTAAACTAGTCTGACACCTCCTACTCGTTTTCTTCCAACAAAACAGTAACTTTAAACTTTATATATTGCTGCTATAATTATTTTGAAGCATGTCACACCTCAACACTGAAGTCTTTCATGTCATTTATATCTATCCCAAAATCAGTATAAGCTACAAAATGAAAAAAGATTATATTGTGTCAACATCAAATGAAAAGCAATGATGCCAAGGAAGGCTGCTGTTGATAAATACCCATCTTTACCACTAGTAAGAATTGTTCATTGCTTGTTTCATTTCATGCAGTAATTTGTCACATGTTCTCCAGAGCTGAAATCTTTTCCACCTCAGACATAATCCTAACAGTACATAATTGCTATTATGGTAATTTAAAACGTAAATAATATTAAAAATATTGACATACACATTTCAGAGCTACTAATTTCACAAATATGAATTTAAAATGTGCCCAAACTGAATTATCAATAGGCATTTCTGCTAATCATAACTTTTGCTATTGTTCACTATCTGCATATTGTTATAGTTGAAGTAGAGAACCAAGTAGAAAGCTCAGAGAATGGCAGAAAGAAAACATGAGCTGAAGACACAGAAACAAAAGGAACCCTAAAATTAGATTCCTAACCTTCAATTATGCAATGATTATTCTGACTCCAGTCTTCTCTATAGCTATGTACAATCTGTAGGAAAAGATTTACGCTAACATATTCTTGAATAGGAGAACACCATATGGAATGAAATAGTTTCCACACCTCCTTCAGAAGCACGGTGACACTAACTGGGCAAACAAACCTAATGAAACCACACAAAAATATATCCCAAAATTCAGTCATTAAGGAATAATCTTACATAAGAAGAAAAGCAAGGCTAATTACAGTACATTAAGTCAGCGGTGATGAAACCAACCCAATCTGGCAAAATTTTTTTATACCATATGTTCAATTTGTGAGTACTCTCAATCGGTTACAAAGGAATGTTTAGCGCTGTTAGGAAAATCCCAGATATGCCTTGCAAAATATGTGTTAAGGGACCAAGGTTCCTTCACAGAGGGATCTAAACTGTGAGGTTAAAGTGAAGGTGGCTCAGCATCTTTAATATGATTTGCATAGGATTCAAGGATTTTGAATTTATGACAAAGTTAATCTTAATTCTGAATGTCCCATATTGCTAATGGCAAAGGCCTTTGGGAAACTTTCTTCACAGCTAATTCAAATTTCTAGTAAAAAATAATCCTCAAACTTAATTATAAGGGGGCTGCTGCACTTTGGAAACAAGCAATGTGCAAATTTGAACACCAGCAGTAAGGAGAGGCTTTTAGAAAGCACCATTTTTTTCAATACTATCACTTGTTTTTACCAACAGTTGATGAATCTGGTCATTCAGATTTCCAGATTCTTGGCTGCGTTGATCCTGTTCTGTTTGAGCTTCTGCTATCGCAGAATGAGCTGGGTGCGACTGCTTCTCAAGATCTTCGACCTACAATAAAGACAAATATTAATAAAGAATTATCTTAATGTATTCTATTTTAAATAGTACACTGGATTTCTTCTAGTTTTCTTCTAGGTACTAGTCAAAAAAAGTCCAAATGTTATCTGCTGGCTCAGCGGAGTTATTCCCTAGGTGTATTCAGAATTGTGCTTTTAGTGACTAAGCTCAATTTCATTGCAGAGTTAACTGAGGCTCCCGAGAATGAATTGGCTTCCACCCTGATGCACAGCTCTTGAAGAATTCCTTACCTACACTGTAAACATTGAATGGAATGGGAAAAGAGCCACTTTAGAAAAAAAGTTCGAGCTCCTTGCTTGATTTGCAGTACTACTAGTTAGAAAAGCCAATATAATGCAAGTACAAGTAAAACGCAATTTATATGGAGTCATTCAATGAGAAAATACACAAAATTTCCTACAGTGCTCTTCTAATAAACACTTTGGGATTTGCAATCCCTCTTTTGGCTAACACCAAAATCTGGGCATTTCCTTTCTACTTCCTTAAAAATGTTTCCTCAGCTTGTGACAAAAGCAATAATCTCTTCCCTTCCTCTTCTGCCCCTCACCCCCTCTTTCATGAATCTGATTATAATGATGACATAATTCTTTTCATTTAGTAATCGACCATTTATGCAGGGCTAGTCCCAAAACCTCATGTCCTTCACCAAATGGGGGCTGGGAACATGAGGATGACATGAGAGGATGTTGTCAATGAAAGTTCTGAAGATCTTGAGATTTTTCTTCCCCAAAATTGGATACAATCTTCTCTTCCTAGAGCTCCAATGCCTAAGCAGCAGAAGGACATTATCACGGCCTTTTCTTCCTGTAATTGCCAGAGGTCCTTTTTGAAAGAGGTTTCTCTCATCTTGTGGAGCCCTCCATCAGGAGGAGAAATCTCAGTAGATCTTCTCCCTGAAACCCTCCTTACACAACTACTCCGTATTTCCACGGAAAATGTAAGCCTGAAGTACACCCTCTACAGGGCTCAATGACTGTGTACAACATTATCAATAGGGCTTTCACAGACAGTGATGAGAAACAGCTGTCCTCACACAGGGCCTTTCCTGTACAATTAAGTTAATTTAGGGAGAATTTGGTCCCAAGCATGTATTCAGCCATATTCACTTTGTGTTTAATGATACAGTGAAGTTCTTCAGACGCACTTAGGCCTCACAGCAGGTTTTATGTAGCTAAGGCAGGGAGGTATATTCCTTCACTATGAATACATTAAGAAATCCACAGGCAAACATGTTTTGCTCCAAGTGGTAGTCACTTTCTCTGAAAGGATGCAACTTCTGGCACTGTATGAGACGATGGACCAGTCTGCAACACTTTTTAATAAAGATATTAACATAGGTATATCCAAACAGAACACTTGGGTATTTACATTTACATCCACTAAGTAAAGTACCAGATTTTCTGACTGCTGAAACTATCTGGTATCAACAACTTACACTGGCTTTAGTTTTCACCTACTCCCTTGAAAATTTTAGTTGTTTTCCTACTAGAGAAGCTGCGGAAAAATGCTTGTTGTAAAAGAGAGACATACAGTTGTAAAAGCTTTATTTAGATTCTCTCTCACACGTTCCCAGGAATGACTCCACATAACAGCTTGAGATCAAATGATCTCCAGCTATCAACTTGTCTCTCACTAAAGCCTACCTCAGCAATTCAGTGTACTACACTTACTATTCAAAAGCAATTTTTATTGGACCAAGTAGTATATTCTTTTATAGATATACAAAACCAACATTTTCTGGAGTTGGTAGACTATGAAAAACAGCCTTAAATTGATTCCCAGTTTCCAATTTTACATCTGTTATGAGGTAAACATTATGAAAGGGAACATGCCTAAAGAATATACACTACAGTTATAGCTATGTATTTCATATGACCTTATGCTGTGCACAGCATGATTTAAATCAAAAGAATTCAGGTAAATAGACCTAACATGAAAAGCATACCTTATATTGTACTCTTCCTTGAGGATGAAATACAGTAATGGAGATTAATTTACAAATTCTCCATAGTTCAGTTACAACGCTGTGAAAAGTCACTTTTGGAACTTACTAGTGTGAGTTTTGATACGTATGAATCAATGGAATTGATAAAAGTGGAAACCTAGAGAAATGATAAAACACAATGTCCTTCCTGCTCTGCTTTATAATGCAAGTAGATGTACACCATGGCTCCACAGGCTTGACCTGACCTGCACATCCCTGCCATTCCATTCTCAGACCTTTTTGGATCAGAGACTATCAGCTCTGCCAAACTTCACGGCACTCCAGTGACCTGAACGTTCCCTTTCCGATAGTATGTAGAAGGATGCCTAAATCCTCATGACTTGTAATCTAAGCTGGATTTGGATCCATCAAGCATTTCTGCATGGGTCCGCTCCACTAATTTTTAAAGGGAGTGGAGAGCAACTGTTTTCAGGTCACTTTCTGTGGAAAACATGAATTACCTTTCACCAAAAATAAGAAAGAATTTAAAAGATATTCAAATTGTTTATAAAACTGGAATCCAAAGCAGTGAAGTAAGTAAAAGACACAGCAGACGTGACATGGAAACAGGACATAAAATGCTGCAGTTAGTGACATGGAAGAGATTCTGTGGTGGGACTGTAAGAAGTTCTCTCCATTTGTCTGCAGTAACTCCCTGCTGTACTACCTGGCAAAAAGTTGGTCTTCGGGGAGAAGCGTGGTTAAAAAAAGTTTGTCAAGACTAATGTTTTCTAATGGGATTAAGAAATGGCTGAATACACAGATGCTGGCCAGCCTGTCTTTTTTGCCTATATTATACCCTACTGCTAAGAAGCCTTTGGATTTCAATGAACGTTAAAGATTCTTAACTCGCAATGGGGCATCTCTGGGCACCTGAATGCTTCACAAGCGCTGCTGTAATCTCTATGTTCTCCCACCTTTGCACTTACCAAGACAAAGTTACCAAAGAATTCTTCTGGGCAGTACAACTTAAATAAGAAGCTATTTCTACTGCCTTATTTTGGTGATATATTCTCTAGCGGTATAGTGGAACAATGCTCTTGTCCTGCATGTGCAAGTGATGTTTGCAGTGCAGAATCATTTTATGTATTTCCAGAAGGCATCATTTATGGTATGCTCTCAATACATGCAACAAAACTATTTTGTGTTCACTAAGTTTTGCAAAGCTATTTTGTGTTAGAGAAAAATAACTTGTTCTTAAAAATAATACAGAGTTAAGGATAATGTAATATATCTTATTGTCCACACAGTTTTTCTGAAGCAATCCCTTATCAAAAGACTTTCCTTAGTATCCGCAACATTTCAGATATCCACATATCCAGTTTCATTGGCACTAAGGCTAACACACAAATCCATACACACCTTGTCTTCATAGATCCTCTTAGCTTCTCGTAATTCAGAACGCAGCTGAGAAACTGTAGATTCCAGGTGACTAACTTGATGTGCATGCACTGAATTTTGCGTTCTTGTTTGTTCGCTAAGAAAAGTTTTTTAGGTGGAGAAATTAGAAACTAAGAACCATGAAAGCGTGAAACATTTGCGGTTGTTTTCACTGCAATCAGTACGACCACTGAAACTTACTGCTTTAAGTATGATTATCATTCACAGTGGGATCACATAAAAATTACACCTTCTTACTAGTTAGATTTGCTGATATCTATCTCATAAAATTACATACATTGAAATCTTGATGCTTTCTATTCCTGATAACTCATTTACTCTCAAGCAAGTTCTAAGAAAGCTAAGTTTACTTCCAAATGCACCCTGACTATTCCACAAGCAGAACTGAGATGCATTTTGCTATCAGCTATTCAGACTCAACTATGCAAGTCAGATATTAATGCATACTGATATTTAAATCTCATCTTAAGTTTGTAACACTGCACGGCATGTCCTCATTTTTTTTTAACTGATACATTGAGCACCGATTTACGAGTCATCAAGTGGCCAGTTAGCCTTTTTATTCTCGCTCAATTGTTACCAAAGTCAACAGTACCAACATAGCTATTTATCCCAAATGAAAATTACTCTTTCTTTAAAATTACTGTTCATTACTATTTGTACATGTATGCAAACAACCCAACTGTTTACCCATTCTTCTCTGTGATTCAACCAATAAGCTGCTGGAAATTAATTTTGTATCCAGATCCACAGAACATTTAGAAGGCAGAGGTCATGGTGCAATGTAGCCACCTAAGACTGCACTCAGCCACAGCTCTTCGCTTACATACTCTTTCATCCCTTAACTCTAGCCATGTACTCCGCAGAAACTGTTCACAACTCAGGTAAGAGAGATTCATCATTCCAAAAGCTGGTGGCAAGAAGAGCTGACAGCTCGAGCCAGTTTGAACTTCCACTGATTTTGCTGGCCTTACTCTTCTTCTGAACTGCAGCTGTCTGAGAAGAGAACCAGCCCGAGTCTCCTGATTCTCAGAGTATGCCTAACGCATGGCTATTTTGCCTCTCCTCTATATAGCATGGTTTATTGTTTTTTTGGTTTTTCCCTTTTTTTCTTCATTCCATAACTTACGCAAGGACTACTTAACTCTAAACAAAGACACTAAGAAACCAAAAGCGTAGGGCAGAGAGTAGAGTATACTAGCAGCATAAGCTTTCTCTCAAATTAAGGTTACTCTTAACATTTTCTATACTATAATCAAAAAACATACTGAATGATCTCCATCTGGCTTTGGATACTATTTGCATAGCTGCGCGCACTGTTAGCTTTATCAGTTAGTGCTGCCACCTCCTGTTCATGCTCACTTATTAGCTGCTCAATCCTGTTTCAAAAAGAAAATACTGATAATAATTTCAGTCTTGGCAAATAATAACTTCTCCACTGAAGAGGTAATGATATTTTTCAGTAGTCAGAAATGTAATCGTTTTGATGTCCTGTTGTGAATGAAATATTCTGTATCGAGTTATTGACCCTTTTATTTTGAACAGGTTACTGTATAATCCAGGTGGATAGCTGGGGAAATTGGGACTCCTTGAACAAGGAAGGACAAAGCTCTTAGTGAAATTAGTAAGAAAATGCTGATGTAACCACCAAAGTGCTTGCTTTCAGTCTTTTCTTTTAACGGTGGTACTAGTCACCCCACAAATTAGAGATGTCCACTAAAGTGACCAATCACACTTACAAAAGTAAGGCGTACAGATTCTTCCAAAATATTTTTTTGAGACAGTGAAGAACACAGGAAATTGTCAGCATGGAAGGAAAAAGCAGCAGAAAGTCAAGAGCAAATAAACATCTGGAATGGAACAATTATTAAGTCCTCAAAAACATTGCTTGCTGCCCCCCAGCCACTCCCCACCCCCAATACAATCACCATCAGAAAGAATTATCTGTGTAAAAAAAGTCTATTTATGTTTTATGAATAAATAAAGGGAGAACAGGTACCTATTTTGATGTTGCTGAAGCAGAAGTTTTTGGGTCTGTGAATCTTTTTTCAATGACTCAAGCTCTTCTTCCACCTATTGTAAACAGATGAAAATGCTAACCCCTAAAGAAAAGACGGTCTAAACAGTAGTTTTCAAAGTGTAATTTCCTTCCTTTTGCTTCCACCTTGAAATGTGAAAACGTGCACAATACAGGTTAAATTCCAGCAAGAAACCCAAGCTCAAGTTGGGGACAGTGTAAAAGGCTGGCATACCAGTACCTGCCATCTTAACTGCAAAGTAGCATTTGTACCTCTTTATGCCATAACCATTTCTTTAGGCCAGTTTAGACGGGAGCTCGTGGAGTTTTCAAACACATTTTCTAAAAAAACAGAACACAGTGTTGGAAGGAGAAGTAACACTTTCTTCACATACCAGGACAACCTTTTCTTTGAGGTATGACACCTCTGAGTCTAAATCTCGCAGGATGTCAGCAAATGCTGTGCTCAGGTTGTGGATGTGTAGGCTAGTAATATTCTCATGCTCATAGAGTTTCTTGCCTGTGCTGTCTTCATAGTCCATTAGGATGCCGTGTATTTCCAGAAGTACTTCCTTGTGGCTGTGTACCATCTTTTTCAGATGCTCATTTTGGCTGTCAGCCTCCCTCAGCATCTCCTCCTGCAGCTGGTTGGCAGCTTCCAGCTCTTGAATAGTATTTTTTAGCTGTGTTTTCACATTCTCTTGGCTCTGGGATTCCTTTTGTCTGAATTTGGAAACCAAAGAAATAATTTAAAAAACAGGATTCACAACATGGATTTTTATCCTGACTAACAGGTGTAATACTTATGTTGATTAACTGCTGGTTTTTGCAACTATATAAGAAGCCATTTTCTAAACCAAGGTGCCATAGTCTCATTTCTTCATTCCTGAGGGCAAGTTTCTCACTTAGAAGATCTGATGTGCCTCCCAAAGCCCATATATACACCCTCTCAAAGCCCATATATACACTAGCCACAATACATCTGTCTTAGCCTTCATACCTGGTATCCTGAAGCAAATCTCTTTCCAATTGCACTTCCATCAGTTTGGTCTGCAAATCAGCAATGATCAGGCTTAAACTGATTTTCTGTCGCTCATGTAGCTCAGTGGTCTAAAGGAGAAAAACAAACAAACCACCAAGCTAAACCAACCAAAATACTGAATATGTAACCTGAAAAAATGAGGCTGAGAGCAGCATGGGTATGGGAATTAAAAGAACAAAAATAACCTTTTTTTTTTTTTTTAATATTTCTTAGTTAACCAGCTAGTCACACTGTGCTGCAGTGGACTGACTATGCATAGAACACCGCTACAGGGATCATGCCAACAACATTATTACCCATTGCCTAATTCTGTCTTGTCAAATGACGTGGGAATCATGATGGCCAAGCACAATTTACAGCAGCCAAGAAGCTGCTCACATTAGCGCTGGCAAAACTGTCCAACACTCAGCAATGACAAAAACAACAAAAGCTCATCTATACTTAAGAAGCTGCCCCAAATTTGCAACTCACTTCATTCAGCCTCTTCTGCACATCTCTACCTTCCTGCGAGTATTCTTCCAGAATGTTTTCCACATGTTCTTTGCCAGCACCACTCACGGATTTTTTCTCCGCATCAATATGTATTTCATATTTGGAACAGAAGACACTATTGGGTGGACTGCTACCAGTACCAGAAGAGGCTGAGTTTTCCATCACTGTGCTGAGAATGGAAGCAGCTAAAACATTCTGGCTGCCAAGAAATGGGCTAGCAGTACCTGAAAGACAGATAAATTTCAGTGTTGAAACAAGAATAGTTACACAAGAATAAAGTGCCATCTGTACAAAGCGGGCATTAGTGCCTCTCAGTACATATCTATCGATAGTCAAACCTAGGAATTGTCTTTTCTAAGGACAATAAACCCAGCCAATTCTAGGGTTGCACACTGGATGGGGAATGCCACAGTGTTCAGATGAGAACATTTCAAAACTGCTCTGCCTTTACCTTGGGCTTGCGCCAACAAGAGCTCTTCAAGATGCAGGGCCTAAAGAGGATTCAACTTGAAACATGAACTTATGAGCACCCTTCTAAATCATATAACAGTCTGCAATGTTTATAGAGATTTACTCCCAAATCTTGTTCTGAAATGTTTAATACTTGCCCACGCTAGGCATATTGCCACTTGGTAAATATTCCTCATGACTCAAAGAACGTATCATTGATTCCACTGGGAATTTGGTGGCTTCTTCGTGGAGTTTCAGAGCCTCTTTCGTTTGTCTTCCCAGTGCTTCCCTGCAGAACAGCACACAAAAACATTTGCTGAAAAGGCAGGAGGACTGAATACAGAAGAGCATCCAACTGCACTGCGTCACAAATGCAACTTGAAACGAATAACTGAAAAGAGAAGCGAAAGCAAAGAATTTATTTGGCAACGCTGTTGTATTTTCCTGGTTTGCACTTACATTTGGCAACACAGTGCCACATCTTCAGCTGCTGCAGCTCCACTGTAGTCAACTGAACTATAGTGTTTTGCCACTAGCAGGCATAATGTATAAAAGTCCAAACAAGTAAAATAACACTTCATCAAACAAACAGAATTAAATCCGTTTATCTTCTGAAAAGGGATTTCCTTTTATTTCCACAATTCTTCTCCTAGCTGTCCAGTAAAATGCCACCTTACTGACACGAAACTGTAACTGTATGGTCAATCAAACCCACAGAAATCTGTCAAATACTTCATTTGCAGGCATAATTTGAAACATCTCAGAAAACTTGTAGAATCAGAGAAGTGTTTGGTTATACAAAACCTCGAGCACAGAAGAAAGGAAACCTGTGCAGATTCACACCATCTTATTTTACTGGAACTGATAGCAATGGATCTCATTTCCTACATTCCTGGCGGGGGGGGGGGGGGGGGGGGGGGGGGGGGGAGAAATGTGTGTGTGCAAAGAAAGTAGACAGATAAGAAGTAAAAAAAGGCAAAAGGAATTTTTCTGACCAAGAGAAGAAATCCAGTCTAAGTGAGAGTATCAGGCAAGTTTTGGCAGTTCACCTATAAGCTGTAAATAGAAGAAAGCTAAGAGGAAACATGAAGAAAAAAATAGTTGAGGGAAAAAGAAGAATCTGAAATCATGGAAAAATATTTTAAGTGGCAAGTCTACAGGTGAGGGAGGAATATGAGATCAGCAAGAAGAGCAGCTCCCTGTCATTTAGCGTCAGTGCTGTTGTGTGTGCATAGCAGGACTGTGACATTCACAACTGACGCAATTACAACATGCACAGTTGATTTCTGTCCACACAGCACTTTTTTTTCACAATGCAACAAGTCCCTGTGTCTGTGCACTGCACTTGTTATGCCTCCTCTCTGCATCTGTATTAATGCATCCTGATAAACCTGGATTTTCATTCTATAACATTACTGATAAAAAAGATTAGAGGACACAGATGCAAACAGAGCTGCAGAGCATGGGGAAAAGGATCCTGAGGAGTCTGTTACCCTGAAAGTGGGAAGAAGAGGCATCAGCTACAGGCAAGGGTGGAGGTTCTATCCACGCTGCCTTGCTATTGTGGAGTATAACCTAAATGCATAAACAGGTTAAAAGAATGACTAGACAAATCCCCAGGACTAATAAATTTGACAGCTGGGACAGACATTCAGATTCAGTAAGTCTTTACATTCTAATTCCCTGAACACTGAGATACTAAGCAAAAATACCACTTTTTCCTTACCGTTTTTCTATGCATCTGCCACCACACACTGCTGGAATAAGCACAGTGGTGAGATGACACTTTGGTTTGATCCATCAGAGTCTGAGTGAATCAGAAAATCAAAGCTTTAGAAAGAAAAATACCATCCCCATTCTTCTTAGTTGGCCATTAATTTTCAAACTCATTAATGATCCTTCTTTGGGAGAAACTTTCAAATATTAGATACACAACTGTACCTAAAAAATCACTAAATCCAAGCACCACCTTCTGGGGGGAAAAAAATAATCACCCAAAACAGTAAAATCACTGAATTTCACAAGTATCACTTTTCCAATGCTGAATGATTCTGAATCTAGTAGTAGGCAGAATCCTGGACCCCTGCAAATTCATTATCAAATGTCAGTACTACATCCTGCTATTTGTGCAGAAATCTCATTGCCAGCAGGAATAACTCATTCCACCATGAAGAGAAATGAAGCTATTATCCTGGCACACAAATTACAATGATCAGTGTAATTCATCCTTCACTGTAGAGTGCCTTGGGTACCCATATCCTTAAATTTTGTGTTCACATCTTTCCTGTCACATAACAGACTACACCTTAGGAATCTGTTGGCTTCCATTTTGGGGGAGCGTGCCGTTTACTATAATGACGGATACCAGGTACAGGAATTTCTCTAATAACAAACAAAACCTGTGTACTACCTTAATTCCTGGATATTCTCGCTCATTGTAACAGCACCTGTGAAGAAAGAAGATCTGTCCTTATTTTCTAATATATTAAGAGTCAACCTTCTGTAATAAAAAATGAATTTTGCCGATCTAATTTTAATACTGCAGGAGAAATTAAAGGATATTGAGGGAGATAGTTTCTCTCCTTTTTAAAAGTCTTATGCTTTTTTTTTTTCAGGATGAACACAGATGCAGGCTTTTTTAAGTGCTTGTTAGCATCGCCTGTTAAGTTTTGCAACAACAATTAAGTAGCAAATCATATACACTACCACTTTCCTACGATGTTTCCGGATACAGAATTTTTCTACAAGAAACACTGAAAACGAGATTTTTATAAACGTCTGCCTTGATCTCATCTACAAATGTTGTCTATGCCAATCTCCTTGATTAAAGCCAAACGGACTTTTTCCTCACAAAAGTGCTTTTGGAGGTATGCCCAAAAGAAAAGAAAAACTGAAGTCTGGGGTGAGCCCAAGGTGGGCAAGTCTAGACTTGTACGTCTTGAGGTTTGGGAGTGTGATTGCTATTAACAGTCCTTGGGGGACAAGTCTGTGAACCTTTTCCTCGGGGGGGGGGGAAGGAAAAAATGAAGAAAAATTTATTACTCAGGGGTAGCTTTGAGGTGGACAGTATGTGATGGGGTTTTATTTGCATTACTTGGATTTTCCTGGGTGAACGGTCCTCTGGAAGACATGGGACTACACTCTAACTCAAAAGGTAGCTGCAGTAGCAGTTTCCATTCCATGAATAATTTGACACCTTCAGTACACCCACTTGACTGAAAAAAACCATCAGGGGTGCTTCCTAAGGGCACGTAATGGATAAAAGTGGGATAAAAGTTTATCCCAGACCCCAATTCCGAGTACCAGAAATGCTTCCTTAACATGAGAACATTGCCTCCAACCTTCACATGGCAGACCTGAAAGTTCAACTGCACCACGACAAGAGGACCATTTTTTCTAAACCGGGACAGACCCTGTCACTCTCCTCCCCCGCCCCGCCCGCATTTTCCATGCGGCGAAGGAGGGCGAGGCCGGCGACGGCTGCGGTCGGCGGATCTCCCCGGGGCCGCCCGCCGCCCGCATTTTCCATGCGAGGGCGAGGCGACGGCTGCGGTCGGCGCCCCGGAGGCTTTTTTGTTGGGGGGAACCTGGGGACCCCCTGAGCGCCCCGACCGGCCTCTCCCGCCTGCGCAGGTGTGTCCCGACGTCCCTCTAGTCTCTACAAGCTCTCCACGGCTCCGCTCCGACGGGCTTTTTACCTCATCAGGGCGTGCACCCGCTACTGCCTTCCCAGAGAGGCTGCTCCCCTCACGGTGAGGAGAACCGTCTCGCCCCTTCTCCGGCCTCCTCCCCGGGAACGGGCCCTCCCGCGGCTGCGACCCGATCTTCTCGGAGTCGCCCGCTTGACCTCAGCGTAGCCTCGGGGAAGCTGTGGCGTGGAAGCCGCCGGCCGCGCAGCCCGAGCGCCCTCCCCGCTCCCTTACCACGCTGGCACTCAGCCCCTCACCCCCACAATGGCCGCTCACGGGTGCCCCCCTCAGGCTGCGGGCAGAGGAGTTAAGGCGCCGTCGCGGCCGCGGGATTCTGATGGGTGGCGATTTAATGATGCCGTGCTTGAGACTAGAGATAAAAATCCTCTCATACGAGGGTAGGGCAGGGCCTGGGTCATCTTCCTCATGGTATTTGGCCAGCAAGGTAGCACATTTGGGGGGGTGACCATGAGCTGACTGAAGGCAGAAGTTGGGGTGAGGAGGCTTCCTCCCGCCAGAGAAAAAGCCAGAGGGCCAAAAGCATCTTCCCAAAAGTCCAGTTCAGAAATAAAAATTAAAATCTTTTGATTTTTACACCACTCTCTTCAGAGATGAAGTTTTTTGAATTCCCAAAGGTGATTGCCTGACTAGTATTTTCAATTCTCTGAGGGAGTTGGTGCAGAGTCAAGAAACGATCGCTTTACTTCAGCAAAGAAAATGATGGGGCTGTCTGTCCCATTTTGGATCTTGATTTCAGGAATGAACACGCAGATGTCAACAGGCTGTCCCTCTTTTCAAGTTATTCAAAATAACAGCCAACAGCTTATACCAGACACACCATGTTACAAGTTTCCAGGAACAGATGCATGAACTGGGCTCAAAACAAAATCATCAGAGAGCTGGAGAACTTAAGTCGGAGCAAACTCAGGAGACAGGCATATATGTTTATACATTTAAATACCTGACTAAGAAGAAAAACACATAACCATTCCTCAACAGAGGACACACCATTTTAATTTACAAGAGAAGAAAACCGTTCACCTAGTGCTACAAGACAAACCTAAAGACAAAGCAAGAAAATTGGTTTTACGTGGACTACTTCAGACTGAGCGAAGAAAAGAATTAACGAGCTGAAAATAGACCTCTGGTCTCCACGCTCCTAGCTGCACCACGCTCCAGAGTTGTCAGTGCATCAGCAGCAAAAAACACATGCAGAGGATGGAAAACTGCTCGAGGAAAGAAGGACTTGATATTGCACCACCCGGAAAAAGAGGCAGCACCGAAAAGATACATTTTTCTCCTATCCACAGAGAAAAGAGGCAAAGGAGTTATAAGTAAATATGCTATACAATACCTTGAAGCCAGATTTCAATGCTCAAACAGTCTCGGGTGTTAACAAAGCATGAAAACTCATCCGGGAGGCGGCCCGCACCTACCTCTGACAGACACTGGTGAGATTTGTTTCTCCTGTATTTTGGGCGGTGCACTGAGGTTTTGCTCCTTGATGCGGGGCTGGGAAAGGAGGGGTGCACTGATCATCTCGCGTTCGCCCCTCCTTTTAGCCGTGCTGCGCGCCCAGCTCCCAAACCCGTCTGGAGCCGTTAGGAGCCACCTGCCCCTTACCTCAGCCCCTTTGCCCGACTCGGTAGCCTTGGGAACAAACTCCTCCTCTGGAGCTGATGATGTGCATGAGGGGGAGCCAATAAACGCCGCAGGCAGTGTTTGATTTCCCTGCAGGCTGACAAAGTCCGGTTTAAGCGGGAAACTTGCTAGCTTTTCCCAGTCAGGGCCGTGGCGGGGTCATTTCTGTGGAGGATTACCTCTCCTGGCAGCAGGTGCCTTTTTTATCTAGTGTTTCATGGGAGTCCAGGTCTTGAGCACCCCAGCCCCTTTGCTGCTTTCCCCTGCCACTCCTGAAACAGCAGTAACAACCTGGGGACAGAATAATTCTTTTAGGATGTAATTCCTCAATAACTTTTATCCTATTTTGGGAATATCTCTGAGAAGAAAAATCTAAGAATCACCACGGGTTTGCCAGCAAGATGCAAATATAAACTTCTTGTGTTTAAAATAATCCATTCCTCCCGCAGAGAGGACTACGAGCTGTGCAGGAGGATATAGCTTCAGGGGAAGGTAATGGAGTAATTTATGACAGCAGAGGCTCTGCTTCTAAAATACTTGGGCCATACCCACCAGCCATTTCAGATTTGGTTAAAGGCATTAATAATGACTTTAACTATTAAATAATCATCTTATTTTGGGGGGGTTCCCTCTTTGGGGGGGTTCCCCCCCCCCCCCCCCCCGTAAATTAATCTGTCTGAACCTCCTGTGTTTCTTCATATGCCACATATCAAACATAAGTGTCTACAGAATTTGCCCTGCTCTTTACAGGATGAGCTCAGACACAGGGCTGCGTCATCACAGCTTGCTGTGATGTCTGGCCTTGCAATAAGAGCATCTGGCCATGGTGCCTCAGGTGACTTTAGCTGTAATCCATCTTGCAAGAAACAATTGCGAGAAATAGCTCAGCACAGAAACCTCTGATCTCAGCAGATGAGTATATGTAAAAGCTGTCCAATCGTGTACACAGCCTGCTAAGACAGAGAGAAATACTACAAAATTGTTCAATTAAATGAGGTAATGGCTGCCCTGAGCATTTTGTGCTTCTCTCTTTTTCTCAAGTGTGTAACTGAGTCTCAACAAGGGAAACCCCTTTAGCATAGTAATACTGGATAATTCCATGTAATCATGGAATCTTTTATTAATTTGGTGTTAGAATGAGGACTTATCTTTGAAATGCCTGCTTTTGTGCATCTTGTTAAGTTAGTCCATTCAGAATGCAAAATGGCCTGTTTCTCTGGAAGGGCTTATGGTAATATATAGAAAATCAGGGATTGTTATTGCTGAAGTGGCCTCAATGTTGTTACAGTTATAATGCTTGTATAACAACAACAACCTATATGTTATAAAGTTTTGGTGTTGTACTGTGATGACTCTTGATTCCTGGCTCCTGATTCGAACTCTTGTTTCAGCAGGGTGATTCTCTGTGTATTACATCAGATAGGTGAAAATTCAGATGCAGAGAGAAAATCTGCAGTTCTGAATTCAGATACCCTGAATTCACCTCCTTTCAGTTGTGACAGCACTTACGCTCTCCTTAGAGGGACGGATCTATTCCTCACCTTGGCTTGTTGCTTTTCAGTTTGCTTTGAGTAACTGAGGGACCCAGATCTATTTTGTGCCAGAGGCAATAGTATACCGAGAGGCTTTTTTATGTTCACCAAAGAAAATTCTTTTCAGACTTCGAAGACAAGTTCCTTTTCCAACACAAAAAGGATGCAGATTCATGGATTTTGCAGCTTACTTCTGTTTCTCGGCTTTGTTCTTTCCTTTCACTCTCAGATCTCTGTCTTTCCCTTTCTCTGTCTGATTTTTCATATTTTACCTCAGGCCTGTCCAGAAAAGCAGGCTTATTCTGTGGCCTGGAAGGAAGATGAACTCAAATCCAACCTGGAATCTGAGCAGAGCTTCCCTGTGTAGCCCTAGGAATGTCTCTCTAGAAACAAATTTTGAACATTGGTAGTTGATTGCAATCCCTTTGAGGCCATACAGAGTCTTAACGTGTGTTCCTTCCTGTAAGTTCTTCTTTTAGATGCAAGACTGAAATTTTACAGAGTTGAGTGGATGGATATGTTACAGTCAGCTCAAGCTGATTGGAGGTAACTATAGAAAAAACATCTTTTCTATTTACTTGTTTCTAATTTTTTTATATAATAAACCTTCAGGGGAATTGTTACCCTGAGAAGGAATTATTCCCTTCTTAAGGGATCCTGGGCTCATTCAGGAGGGTTGTGTCTTTTGACACTTGTGTTTTGTTCCGTCCTACTACAGATTTAGGTGAATGGCTTCAGGACTTGGGGGGAGGAAGAAGCTGGGACGGCCACTGGTGCTTGAAGGCCGTCTATTATTATTTAAAATTCCTGAAGCTCTTCAGCTCATACAGAGCCCTGTCTGGAAGAAAAAGAGAAGTTGTTCTGTGATAAAACCAGTGAGCTAGGAAAAAGGAGCGCTACTTTCATTTTTCAGCCTTTTCATGCTTCATGTATGACCATGAGCAAGTCACCTGTTCTCTCTGTTTGTATCTGTGAAAGGTACAAAGACCCACATTTCTATCCTCTTTTGTCCACTTTGCCAATTTAAAATAGAAATTCTCTCGAACAGGGCTGTTGCAAGCCTTTTCCTCACTCAGAAGCAGTTTGTGCACAACTAGAAATACAGAAGACCGCAAAAGCAGGAGCAAATGCGAGATGATCAGTGCCCCCCTCCTCATCCTGAACTTTTTGTCAACCGGCTTGTAATGGCAATTTTCTGCCAAACACGACATATTGGGTAATCAGTTACACTTCTGCTCTTCTGATGTCCAACTCTGAGCCATTTTGGCACGTTACTCCTCCTCAGAAGTCCCTTCAGTACAGATGAGGTCTGCTTTATTTTATAAAACTTCTCTTTAGAGAGAAGTTGTCAATTTACTTCCTCTGAACTTACAGGATATAACTAAACAGCAGGTAGATTTGAACTAAGCATAATGTTTAATTCCCCAGCGAAAAAAGCAGTAACAGATGTGTACAAAATTTAGGAGCTGAATTTCCTTTCTTTGATTTCTAGGTTTATCTTTAATCTGACCTAATAACTTGCCAGCTCAGGGACCCAGGTAAGATTAATAACACCACTCTGAATACTTAGTAAACATTCTGCTTCCTTTCTGAAAGGGAAAAGCACAGCAAATGCCTATTAACTAAACGGAAATGTTTGCATTTAAATCTATCAACTGAAACTGTGA